ATTCAGAGAAACTTTAAGGGGAATGAAACAAGTAGCTGAGTAAAGTCAAGAAAAAGAATAATTCAGTGAGCTGAGGGTTAAACTCATGGCGTTGGCAAGTTACAGAGCTGTGTGATTTTCTACAGCAGACTTCAGGCCTCTGTATTAGTATTAGACTATAGCAGTGATCCAAGTGTGGACCTATATATGAAGGTAAACAAACAAGAGGTGTCAGCTGGGGCCGGGTGCAGTGGCTCACACCTGTAATACCAGCACTTTGGGAGGCCAAGGCGGGCGGATCACCTGAGGTCAGGAGTTCAAAACCAGCCGGGCCAACATGGCAAAACTCCATCTCTACTAAAAGTACAAAAATTAACTGGGCGTGGTGGTAGGTGCCTGTAATACCAGCTACTCAGGAAGCTGAGGCAAGAAAATCGACTGAACCCAGGAGGTGGAGGCTGTGGTGAGCCGAGATAACGGCACTGCACTCCAACCTGGGAGTTTTGCTCCATGAGAGTGAAACTCTGTCTCAAAAAAAAAAGAAAGAAAGAAAGTTGAATCCAAGCATCTAGATCAAGTAGAAAAGGAAAGGGTCAAAATGATTAGGAGAAAATGTCCAGGATATCCTTTGGCTGTTATAAATAATTACCATGGAGACAGATGAAAATTCAGAATTTAGAGACCATATTTATATGACTTATGAAGATAGAGAAGTGGGCAGTTAGGACTGAGAGTGATATGTATAGTAGAAATGGATGATTAAAAAGAAATCACCAAAATCGCTGTAAAATGGGACTTTAGACAAGGAAGAGAAAACAAGCAAAAACTCTAAGTTTATATGATGGTGACGGGAATGGAAGAAAACAGAAACAGACATATACCTTTAATATTTCATTGTGGCCTCCTTTCACATTGACAAAGAAAGCTTAAAAAGACTTTCAGAGCAAAATTATGTCCTTTGCAACAACATAGATAGAGGTCTCTAGATAGTTAGAGGTCATCATACTACGCAAATTTTAACTCAAGAACAGAAAACCAAATATCACATGTTCTCAGTTTTAAGTGGGAGCTAAATATTGAGTACTCACCAACATAAAGACGGCAAAAATAGAAACTGGAGACTACTTGGGGCAGGGAGAAGGGGTAAGGGCTGAAAAACTAATTACTGAGTTTTTGAGTACTATGATTATTAAGTACTATGCTCAGTACCTGGGTGACTGGATCATTTGTACCCCAAACCTCAGTTCTCACAATATACCCAGCACATGTACCAAATCTAAAATAAAATAAAGTAAAATAAAAGTTGAAAAAAAAAAGACTTTTAAACCACACACACACACACACACACACACACACACACGCAAATGTAGCTGAAGAATTCATTACATCCAAGATAAACACAAATTCTGGGAAGATTATAGAGGATCCAAAAAGAACGCAGAAGCAAAATGCAATTTCAAACAGCTTTGCAAATAAAATGGGAGGCACATAGCTTATTAAAAATGAGACAATATTTTCAGAATTGTACAGAGTTGAGTCTTGACCTTAGGACTTAAGAGTGTGCTCTGGAACTGATAAGTCTTAGCACTGTATAGAGAGCTCAAAACATGAGTTAGATAACAGTTGCTTTTATAAAAATGACCTCTGGGTTGAAAATTAGCTACAGTTAAAAAAAAAAAAACGATGGCCATCAGCAAGATAGTTATTAAAGAATTAACTATAAAAGACACCTTTCTTGGATCATTTATTCAGCCTTTTAATCATTGAACAAATATTTATTAGTGCCTAATATGTGCCAGGTCCAAGGGATAGAACGGCAAACAAGAGAGCATGAATGCTGTTCTCAAGGACTTTCTAATCGATGGAGGAGACAATCTACCAAAACAACGTGGTAGGTATTGCTGTGACAGGGGAAGTGGGTGAAGGGCACTATGACAGTCTGTACAGGGTCATCTAGTCCAGTCTAGAGGAAGCCTCTTGGATGTTCAAGTTGAGATCTGAAGGCTGAAAGAAGGGAGGTATGTGAGGAAAAGGCCCAGAAAGAGAACACAGACCGTGCGGAAATCTGGAGGCACCACAGCCTGCATGGCCAAGTTTAAGAAACTAAAAAAAAAGCTGAGGAAGTCTGAAGAAGAAAATGGTGAGAGCCACAGCTGAAGAGGGAAGAGCCAGGGTCCCATCAATAAGGGACCTGATAAGAGCTGGGGTCCTATCAATAAGGGATCTGAAAAGCCACATAAAGGAGTTTGAACTTTGTCCTGTGGCACTGTGAACAAGCTTCAATAGGTGACCTCTGATTTCAGATTTCATTTGAAATGAACCTTTCAGTTAATACAAAACAGTAAAAATTCAGGTCCAGGGGGCGCGGTGCAGAGGGGGCAGTGGTGGTATTTCCAAGGTAACTACACTTCTACAGACAGGTGCTTTTTATTAAATAAATATTCATTATAATTCTACTATGTGCCTGCAACTGATCTAGATGCCGGAGAACACGGGAGAGAACAAGAAAGACAGTATCTTCACGGACGGATAAAAAACACATGAACAACAGTAATAGATGCCAAGAAGAAAATAAAACATGGAAATGAGGAATAAGGCACCCGAAAAGGAAAGCTACTTTGGCTGTGGGCAGGGTATCAGGTAAAACCTTTCTACAGTGACATTCTTACTAAAACCGAAATGATGATAAAGTAGCCGCATAAATATTTGAACAGAGAACATTCCATGCAAAGGAGTCGTTGGGTCTTTCCTCCGCGTTTGTAAAGAGCAGGTTTAACAATTACTGCCTACGGATGCATGAGTGAAGTAAAAGTCTATGATTATAAGGCACACAAGATTAGAAAGCCACTTCCTTGGTTCAATGTATCAATTATTCCATGCTAAAAATCTCAGAGGCTGCAATGCAAAGCTGATTTTCTTTTTTGTTTTTTAATTATTTTTTTAATTCTATGAAGACGCAAAGCCAATTCTCTACTGATATTCTTTATTCTAATGAAAAAAAGCTAATTGGCCGGGCGCGGTGGCTCACGCCTATAATCCCAGCACTTTGGGAGGCCGAGGCGGGTGGATCACGAGGTCAAGAGATCGAGACCATCCTGGTCAATGAGGTGAAACCCCGTCTCTACTAAAAATACAAAAATTAGCTGGGCATGGTGGCACGTGCCTGTAGTCCCAGCTACTCGGGAGGGTGAGGCAGGAGAATTGCTTGAACCCAGAAGGCGGAGGTTGCGGTGAGCTGAGATCGCGCCATTGCACTCCAGTCTGGGTAACAAGAGCGAAACTCCGTCTCAAAAAAAAAAAAAAAAAAAAAAGCGAATTAACTATTGTGTGTGTGTGTTTTTTTTTTTCCCCTTAAATTAGTACTAGAGTTAAAAACAACCCTGAGTTGTCACTAAGGGCACTGGGTAGTCTTAGAAAGATTTTAAGCAGAAGAGTTACATGTCCAGGTGTTTTTTTTTTAACATTAATACATTTGAATACTATGCAGCCAATTAAAAACAATAATTATGAAAACTATAGAAAAGGTGGTCATTTAAAAAATTTTAAAAAATTACATTACAGTGGTAGGATTATGGATGGCTTTTTCTTCTTTCATATTTTAAGTATTTTAAAAGTTTTTGAAAAAAGGACAATGCTCCGCTCTACGGACCTGAGTACTAGGATGAAGCAATATAAAAACGTAATCAAAGAAGAAAAATTTAGTTCACTTTAAGCCCCAAAAGGTAACTATTTCTCATTTGCCATTTGAGAGAACAAGTAAAAACAACAACAAAAAACCATCTTTAGATTATTAGAAAGAAGAAGGGAAAAAGGTCAATAGGTAGTCTGAGCTTCACAAATGTTAAGTTGGCCAACAATTATTTATTGAATGCCTGCACTTGAAGTGGGGATACAGCTATGAACAAGGCAGGATCTCAAAAAATAAAATCATAAACACATACATAAATGATGCCAGTGCCACGCTAAATGCTAGGAAGAAAACACAGATTCACAATGGATGACACGGTAAAAGCAAGAGGCTCACTAGACGAAGCTTCTACTGAGCAATGTCTTACATGTTTGTACGCTCAGAGCTTTATAGAATGGTCGATAAATGTTGATTGTACAAATAAATGAAGGTGTCCAATGGAGAAGAAATGAGGGTCAGAAAAACATCCGAAAAGGGTGAGTAATTAAGCAGAGGATAAAGGATGAGGTGTCAGCGCAAAAACAAAACCTGATACTTTTAAGTATCGGCATAACCTTGTATTGGTATTTTGAAGCAGGAAATGTCTCCATACCAGGATTCAGGATGTGACATCTAACAGCAAAGCCCGCACTGACGCGCCCCAGTATCCAGCCCTGATTGGCGCGCCGCATGCCCCGCGCCCGGAACCACACACGGCTCCCCCGTCCAGGGCCCGCGGCGCAGCCCGGAAGCTTCGAGCAGCTCCGAGGGCCGCCGCCTCGGCTGGCGGTGCCGGCTCTTAGCGTGGAGGCCGGCGGACCCGGATCCCTTCCTAAAGTGGACTGAAATTCCGGGGATGGAGGCCGGGTGGGGCCGCGGACGGCCGCAGGCCAGCCTCTCGATAGCCGGGGCTGAGGGAACCGGACGCAGCCAATCTCACACCCTCTTCGCGCTCTGGGTCCCGGAGTGACGGGTGCAGGCTGCGTGGGGGGAGCGAGACCCGGGATCAGCCCGCACCAAGGAGGACCCGAGGGGGCAATTCGGCAAAGGGAGGCTGACGGGTGTCGGGGCGGGAGGCGGTGACTCACCTGGGAGGTAACCATGATGCTGGAGTCGATCAGGAAACTCATCGCGAAGTGTAGGGAGGACTCCTGCCTCCACTTCCCATTCCCCGAGGCCACGGCACGCTGGGGCCACAGGCCCCGTCACTCAGGCGGCCTTCGCCCAGGTGCCGCAACCAGGACAGCGGCTCGCAAGCCCGACGCCATCAAGCTGCGCCCCAGCCAGCCAATCAGCGGCTACCTCTAGAGCTTCCCGCCTCGGGCTCGGCGTGGTGGGTGGGGCGGACGCTTAGGTCTCAGGGCCAGCGCTTAATTAGGGGCGGGGCTTAATTAGGGGCGAAACGGGAAGCAGATGCGGCGCAATGCAGCATCATTTCTGAGGCTGAAGGAGGTAGGGCTTGAGAGCTAAGTGCTAATTCTGTTTTGTAATGATCATAGCTGATAAGATAATAATGGTAATTATAGTAAGTCAGGCATTGTGTCCTAAATGTTATTACTTTTACTTGACTCGACAAATGTGACTGCACAAAGTGAGGGAAGGCGGGAAAGGCAGATGAGACATTAACAAATATAACTAACAAATATATTTCTGTGACAACAACGAAAAGCACGCCGTCTGTAGAAACGGGGTGATAACGTGCTGCATACTAGTCAGGCCACACGTGAGTACTGCAATCCGTGTACCACACTTTTAAGAGATTATACGTAGAATTTTGGAGCTCGCTCAAAGGTGAACTGCCAGATAAGGGCTGGTGGAAGGAGGCGAAGAGAGATGACTCCGAACATGACATCTGTCTTCATGTGAAAGAATGGGGAGAACTGATGTGGCCCCGAGAGTTATCTGTAGGGCAAAGGACTGGAAGTTAAATGAAGATAGATTTTAACGCAAAACAAGGATCAGTTCTTTTAGAGTCTGAAGAAGGATTATTTTAGGAAGAAACTCCCTCTTCCCCCTTCCCATCATGTTGCAGTGGATCAAATATACACTGAGTCGCTACTTCATTCATTCAACACTCATTTCATGTAGGCTTAATGCATTGCTGTGGTGCTTATTCTGCCGCCGACGTGGGGCCATCTAGTCTTTGTAGTTCCTGTAGTCTCATAGTTCTGCAAACTGGCTCCAGTCCAGGAAATCACTGTATGTAGGAGTGGCTACAGTTAAGACCAAGAAGGACAATCCTGAGGGGACCTGACATCCGGCTTCTGAGTTCCGACTATTACAGTTTGAATAAGTGACCCGCAGATTCATTATACACAAGGGAACGTGTCTTCCTTTCATTGGATTGAACTCTGTCATACCAACTACCTGTGAGATGTCAATCCCTGATCCAGAAGTTCAAGGAGCTGTGGAGGCAGCTCTACTATGGGAGTGTCATAAACCAGAGAACTTCGTGTCCTGGCTATATCTATTCGGGAAGCAGGTAGATTTCCACATAGCAGCACCTGACAGTCAGGATTGTGTGATAGTGCAGAATGCTGAGAGAGCCTATCAAGGCAAGCAGTTTACCTTGGTGGCTTACTGGGGTGCACAGTGGGGATCAGAGTCTTAGTAACCTGGAATAGCATAGAAAGGTGTGCAGTGCCTACAGGTCTAAGGCCTGTGCAAAGCTTTGGGTGATACTGTTCAGAATTCTCTCTACTGTACCACTTGTGTCCAGGTAAAGGAGAGGCCTGGGTGATTCAAGGGACTGCTTTTGATTGATTTTGATTGAGGAATGTCTCTAGAAATCTACACGCTGCATTTAGTATCCAATTAACTCTCTTCTCAAAGCAAGTCTACTGGTGATGGTGGACTCTGACACTAGAATGGCTCATCCTCCCATCTCTACTGCTGGTAATATTCTCCTGATCCCTCCAGCTGCTGCCATCCTCTTAGAATACTGAGATCTTTTGGTTCTGCCTTCATGGACCGTGAAACCATTTGGGCCCTGGGTCGCCAGTTTGTGCTGTTTCCAAGGGAGGTTTTCAAAACATGTCATGTTCATAACTACTAGCCATTGTTTGCCACTCATCCAGAGATCGACAGCCAGCCCCATAGATGTGCTATAAAGAGTCGATTGAGGAGATGATCAGTCTGTGTCCTTTGGACGAGTGTTTGCTCCCAACCACTTTACCACCCTTTTTCATGGCAACTGCAGTGTGCACAACTGTCCTCTCACACTTCCCAGCACCATCCACATCCTGACAGCTATTTCACCTGCTTTCTCCAAATTAATGCGAAGGATTGGGTCCAGGAGTTGACACTAACACTAGATCCCTGGGAAACACCCTAGTACCTCTTCTCCATGCACATACATAGCACCTGCCCATGCCAGTGGTTGGGTGATCTCTGTTAGGGATTTTCTTTTGAAACTTTTTACTTATTGTGGTATAGCTGTAGATTCACATGCAGTTGTGAGTCTGGTATCTTTTGAGACATAGGACATCACCACTTCCATGGCATCCTACTCCAGCTCCCTCCCTTCGTGGACAGACATCCTCTCTTAAAGCTTTCCCCACTTTGCCAGGTTCCTGAGTCTCTGAACTCCCCTGTGTACCCCACTAAGTCACCAGTGTAAGTTGGACAGGAAACCACAAGTATTCAAAGGAAAAGTGTTTATTTTCCACTAGTCCCATGGACAGTATCTATACTTGATAACTAGAAAATGAAGAGGTGCAGTTTTCTTCAAAGTGTGATTCTGTAACGCCTTGGGAAGCTTATTTAAAATGTAGATTCATAAACTCTAATGTAGACCAGTGGACTTGGGATTTCGGAAAGTGAATCCCAGGAGGAATCTGGGAGCCAATTAATTAATAAATAACAATTACATACATTTGTCATGTACAAGACGATGTTTTGAAATATGTATACATTGTGGAATGGCTCAATCGAGTTAATTAGCATTATGTAGTATTTCAGATACTTATTTTTGTGGTGAGAATACTTAAAATCTACTCTCAGAGATTTTCCAAAATGCGATGCATTCTTGTTAACTATAGTCACCATACTGTATAAATAGATCTCTTCAACTTACTACTCTTATCTAACTAAAATTTTGTGTCCTTTGACCAACATCTCCCTAACTTTTAAAACTTACTTAAAAATGTATTTGTGTTAAGCATTACTTACGATATTTGTATTCTGTTTGTAACTATCCATAGGTGCATTTTATTCATTCTGGGAGTATAGGCAGGCACCACCATGCCTGGCTAATTTTAAAGTTTTTGTAGAGACAGGGTCTCACAATGTGCCCAGGCTAGTCTCAAACTCCTGGGCTCACGCGGTCCTCCTGCCTCTGCCTCCCAAATTGTTGGGATTAGAGGTATAAGCCACCGTCCTCGGCCTTGAATTCGTTTAAAAAATACTTCTCTTGACCAGGCATAGTGGCTCATGCCTGTAATCCCAGCACTTTGGGAGGCTAAGGTGGGTGGATCACCTGAGATCAGGAATTTGAGAGCAGCCTGGCCAATATGGTGAAACCCCGTTTCTACTAATAATACAAAAATTAGCCAGGTGCAATGGCGCACACCTCTAATCCCAGCTACTGGTGAGGCCGAGGCAGGAGAATCACTTGAACCTGGGAGGTGGAGGATGCAGTGAGCTGAGATTGCGCCACTGCACTCCAGCCTGGCGACAAGAGCAAAACCAAAAAACAAAAAATACTTTTCTTTTGGCTTGAGTGGGTTATGAAATAAGTTTTTCTTTAAAGAAGGGTTTGCAGGTATTGTGAGATTTTGCATAATCGAGAGTTCCTTTCAATTGGCTTCACACATGAATGAAATTTGGCTTATTGTGGCGTTTTCAGCTTAAGTTTTTCATCCTCAATATTCTATGGATATTCTCTTCTTTTCTGAGATTTAATGTGTTACGGAGAAGTATGATGCCAGCCTGATTTTTTTTCCCCTTTGTAAGTAACTTGATAAACACTCTGCTCATCCACAGTTGGCACCAGAAGGACTACTGCCACATTGAGAGGACTGGCTGAAACTGAGAGCCTTGAGGTTTTGGTTCCCTGTGCTCATTCCAGCTTCCCTTTTCCTTTTGAGCTATTACTCATCCCCATGCCCAACAGTGGCATCTGAGGGAGAGGAGGAATCTCTCTCCTTTACCCCTCCAGACCTCATAAACTCTTCTCTTAAATCTCTATCAAAGCTGAGTCTAAGGTGCCTCATTTAATAATAAGGCTAGGCCAGTTGCTGTGGCTCATGCCTATAACCCCAGGACTTTGGGAGGCTGAGGCGGGTGGATCATGAGGCCAGGAGTTTGAGAGCAGCCTGGCCAACATGGTGAAACCCTGTCTCTACCAAATATATAAAAATTAGCCAGGCTTGGTGGGACGAGCCTGTAGTCCCAGCTACTCCGGAGGCTAAGGCAGGAGAATTGCTTGAACTTGAGAGGTGGAGGCTGCAGTGAGCTGAGATGGTGTCACTGTACTCCAGCCTGGGCAACAGAGCAAGACTCTGTCTCAAATACTAACAATAATAATAATAATAATAATAATACTATGCTAGATTACAGTAATCCTATCACATAGAGTGATCGTCATGAAGGTGTTGCTAGCTAACATTTGTGGAGTGCTTACTATGTGCCAGGTACTGTTTTAAGATCTTGACATCCATTAACTCATTAACTCCCCATCTTAGTTCCTAGCTTGCCTCCCTATGGCAGATACCGTTTTCCCTTATTATTTTGGAAGCACTAGTGAGCATATTGTGACTCTTTGCACACTCAAGAGAATGAGGCTCAGAGAAAGGAATTCCCTCCCATTCCTGTTTAAGGTCCACTTTCCAAATTCTTTTTTCTCATCTTAAAATCTTTCTCTTTTCAGCAGTTGACATTTGAAATGTCTATTATCTTCAAGGAAGCCTCGCCTCCCTAAAGAGAGAGGTATGACCCTACTCTGTGTTCACAAGTGGACAAGAATGTGAAGCACCACTGTTCAATGGTACAAAAACCACGGCAGGGGTTGTTTCTTTACATCTCTAAATTATATAATTATGTCTTTATACTTGCAAATCAAAATTTATCTAGATTTTTTTCCCTGGTGCATGATGAGTCCCTTCCAGTTTGCAATTTCAGGTCTTTTATCAGCTCAAGGAAATTTCCTTATATCTTTAGAGCTTATGGTTGGTTCACTTATCCTGACTTTTCTCCTGGAGCATCGATATCTATGTGTTGGATTTTTATTGTCTTTCCTCCATATCTATTATTTCTTCTTTGACAATTTTTTTTTTTTTTGAGACGGAGTTTCGCTCTTGTTACCCAGGCTGGAGTGCAATGGCGCGATCTCGGCTCACCGCAACCTCCACCTCCTGGGTTCAGGCAATTCTCCTGCCTCAGCCTCCTGAGTAGCTTGGATTACAGGCACGCGCCACCGTGCCCAGCTAATTTTTTGTATTTTTAGTAGAGACGGGGTTTCACCATGTTGACCAGGATGGTCTCGATCTCTTTACCTCATGATCCACCCACCTCGGCCTCCCAAAGTGCTGGGATTACAGGCTTGAGCCGCCACGCCCGGCGGGCTCTTTGACAATTTTTAGCTCTGTTCGTTCTTTTGGCATTTGGGAGAGTTTCTGATATTGAATCTTTACAGAATTCATTTGGTCTTAATATATTGCTAATTCTGCTTTTCATTCTTAAATTCTGCTGTGGCATTGTTTGCTAACTCTGCCACCTCTTCTTACAATTCAGTCTAGCACTTTATTATCTTGTGTTTCATGTATTATTTTATAGAGTCCATGTATTCTTTAACCTTTTTTTCAAGAGTACAATACAGATTTTAAATAAATAAATTTTTATTTTTATGTAAAGATGTTTTGAAATTATGCTGTTCTTTTGGTGTTTATCATTTTCTTCTCGTGTCTCTGAAACTTCCCACAGACTCCAGGTTATTCTCTGTCTAGTTGTTGTTGTGTTCCCTATCTATTACTTATCTATAAAACCGAGAGTCTCATCTGTCCCAGAATAGGTATAGGACCTGAGTAGACACAGTAAAGTTAGGTCAACAGAATTAATAAAAATGTAAAGAAGAATCCTCAGATACTTATTTTTGTGGTGAGAATACTTAAAATCTTAGAGATAAGTAAATTTCTAAAAAATACTTACAGGAAGGCAAGTAATCTGTAATTCAAGAAAAATATGGAGTTGTCCTAGAATATAGTGCCTCACTCTGATACAGTTATGAAAAAAAACTGGAGAAAGTTGACCTTCTGATCTGAGAGACCTTACAGAGATGAACTATTTTTGTGGTATCATAAGGACATTCCTTGTCATGATGGCGGCCTTGGAGTTATGATGGAGATGTTTTTTATTGTTAAGTTATATTCCATTGGCTCAGGTCACTTGTGTTGATCTCGTCTCATCGTTTTCTCTGGGTTGTACTGACCTAACTCAATTTTGGAGGTACCTCATTGTTTCTTCCATCTACAGATCTAGCTAGTTTAAAGATGAAAACTGCAGCAGATGAGAAAGAAAAATACAACTGGAAAACGTGGATGAATTAGAAACACTAAACAGTTTTCAGGAAAGCTGAGTGTCAGAGAAAAACAGATGCTGTAGGAAAGGAAAAAAAGAGGACACAAAAACTGTCCTGGCCAATGGGGTCATGACCACACATTATCCTCGGATGAGGGCTTCCTTTATGGTGACAACTGAACAGAAGCATTTAGAGCAGATTACAATGATATTACACGTACAATGAAATCAATGAAACAGAAAAAAGAGCCAAAATTGATGTCTTTGTCTTAAATCTTGCTTCTTTCTAGTTTATTCTCTCCACGGTGGTCAGGGCAGTCTGAAAGAAAATGACCAACGGAATACGATGAACTGATGGCACGTGACTTCTTCCAAGGTGAGGCCGTAAAAGACACGGAAGTTTCTGCTTTGGCCTCTTGAATCACTTTCTCTGGGGGAAACCAGCTACTGGGTCATAAGGACACTCAGGCAGCCCCATAGCGGGGCCCAAGTGGAGAGAAACCACTTGCCAGCATTAACTTGATAGTCATGAGTTGTGTGAATGAGTGGATCCTACCATCCTGGTCAAACCTTTGATAACCGAAGGCCCCACCTATATTTGACTGCAGTCTTCCGAGAGACCCCCAAGCTGCTCTAGAATTCCTGACCTACAGAAACTGTGAGGGATAATATATGTTTGTTGTTTTAAGCCAGTACATTTTGGAATGATTTGCTACACAGCAATATACAACGAATACACAGGTCATCACAGGTAATATTTTTATTAAATAGTTGTATGGCTCAAACCTGGGTCTGCATCTTTGTAGGCTTTGATTTTTGTTTCTTTACCACTCACTGACTGTTAAGCCACATATTTTAGGTTTTTGTTACAATCACACCTAACCTCAATGTACCCTTTGGTTAGGTGTGTAATAGATAATGCTAGACACTAGAACAGATTAAATCTTGACATCTGAGTGGATTAATACAATAAACGTTTATTTTTCATTTCATGTAAGGTCTAAAAGTCCAATTAATGGAAATTGGCAGGGTAGGAAGCCCCTGATCTACAACCATCCAAACACTGACGACTTCATCACAAGGCTTCCAAGGATGCTCTGGGGGACAGCGTCTTTAATATGTGGCTTCCAGGGTTGTGCTAGGTGACAACATCCAGTGATTCATATGAAAATATCTTTTTCTTCCTTTATTTGTGACAAAGAAAGTTTGCTTTGTTTCAAGCTGGAAACTCCTGGGACCTTCAGGGAACCTCTCCCTCAGATACATGTCTCTGTAGTGTCAGCTTGCTCCACTGCTGGGGAGTACTTGGCTGATTATCTTCTTCCTGCTCTGGGAGATGTTTCAGGAATCATTCATTCATTCAGCAAACATTACAACGTTCCGGGCACTGTGCCAAGTAGTGAGCATTCAGTGATATAAGATAAAATCTCTGTCCTAACGTTGCTTGCAGTCCGATGGGAGAAAGGCAAGTAAATCCAATGATTTGGCAAGTGCTGTGACAGAATGGGCACAGAAGTACTGAGAGACCACAGAAGTGGGAGCAACTGACTTTTCTTGGGAAGTTTGTAAAATTGCATAAAGAGGAAGACAACTGAGCTGACTCTCGTAGGATGAGAAGAAGCTGACTACAGGAAAAAGGCTGGACAGAGTAGTCCTGAAACAATGTGACATTCATCAGTATCTGCCAGGACTGTCCATACTGGGGACTGGCCAATGGTTCTGTAAGGCTGGGGCTCAGGTATGTGTAGACAAATGGGAGAGGTGAGGCTAGAAAGGCGGTGTACTAGTTGGGCTGTGTTAGCAAGAGATGATTTTGGCTATGTTAAATTTAAAAAAATAAAAGGAACTCTGGGGTAGCTTAGCAAATTGAGGGAAGACTGAAGAATGATGATCTGAAAGATGTGAAGCCAAACATCCCCTGGAAATCTAGGTAAGAAGAAACTAATTGTGAATTTTTCTTCAGGAGCCAAGATAAATGAATTTCAACCAATTTTCAGTTTCGTCGTTACTCCTATTCAGGATTCACATTCCAGGGAGAGAGTGTCTGATTGGCCCATTTGGGTGAAAAAGCCTGACCCTTGACCATGAGATGCTAGGGGTTTCAGGGTTTCATCAAGACTACATCTAATTGAGGAAGGACGTTTCCCATAGATGAAATGGAGATTATAAAAGAAGGAGAATACGTTCTGCTCAGGTAAAAACAGTTGTAGTCTCTAGGTGGGTTGGAGTCAGTAATGAAGGGCTTCGTAAGTCATGTTAAAGAAATCTAGGATTTATCGGTAGGCAATGAAGAGCCGTAGAAGGAATTTGAGCAGAGAAGTAACATGATAAATCCCAGACAGAAGCTTTCGGCTGATTTGATTTTGTTATCAGTTTATTTTTATCTGTAATGAACAAATTTAACTCTTTCTTTAGTTCTCATTGACATGGAAGAGAACAAATATCATTCTACCATTCCTTTGCATAGTCCAAACAAATACACCTTTTATTTTTTCCTGAGATTTGTGTAGTGAACGGGCGGAGCCGGGGGGAAAATGGACCAAATCTCCATTGATCAAGAAAGTTTTCATGTTCTTTCTAAATCAGATTCTCTTCCCTCCCACGCAGTGATGTGCTACAGCTGGTTTGTACTGGCTGGCGAGAGTTGTTTGCCAAATTTTCAGGAATTCTGTGAGTCATTTGTTAAGGATAGTCATTATTAACAATTAAGTTATATAAATTTAAACAAAAAAGATATGAAACACAAAGGTAATAAATATTGAAAGCTGAACACTTCCTAAATATTGTACTATCGTCTATGTTCTTGAGGTTATTTATACCTACTGAATGGTACACATCCATTGTATCGTAGAAAACTTTATAATGTTACGGTATTGCACATCTTCCCAACTCTGCATTCAGTGGCATGATGCTGGTAGCTTGAAATTGGTGGGAGTGGGAGAATTTATACCAAGGAAATTGGCAAACACTACAAAGTCAGCCTCTTTATCCTGGAGAGGGCTGGTGGTTAAACATTTACTAATGTACCACCCTTACCCCCTTTACCCCACTCCCCTTGCTTTCTAGGCCCTCAACTCCAAAGGAAAAATAACTGGAAACTGAGGCCGTCTCTTCACAGTCTAGTTCAGCTGACGTATAAAAAGAAAAAAACAAAGATGGTGAAAAGTCAAGTCAATTTTATTTGTTTTATAACATTCCAGCACATGACGAGCTCTGACACGAGGATGTGGAAGGTTGGAGAATACAGGGCCACCGTCCCAATTATGCATCTCTCTTTTGGAGAGATTTCCTCAGGAAGTGTGTTATGAATGTGTTTCCTGACAAACTGAGTCTTTACACTTTGTTTCATAGATGAAAATATTGCAGAAAAAGGCCATGGGGCCATCTACTTTCCCTTCGGGAAACCTTATGCATTCTTTTAGAATCTTCTTTGTTCGGGCGAACTTCCAGAAAGCAGTGGCACTGGAGGCCCTGGGATGTCCCACTGCATCTCGGTGGCTACTGCCAGAGCTGAATACCACCTTTTTCCTGGTTCTGGGAGCTGCAATGTCTAGGTGAACTGGCTTTCATAAAAGTTTTTCTTTCCTCTTACCCAACTGCTGAACCTAGAACTTTGTTTCCTTTTTCTCCTCCCTTCCCCAAGCACATATTTAGTTATAATACAATAATTGCAAAAAGGGAAAGTCTCCCTGCCTATTTCGCTATTACTTCTAGGTACCAACTTACTAGTTTTACAGATTGTATTTACGCTCAGAAGAGTTTTTCTTCCAACCAGGCAAACCTTTCGCATCTAAACTTTGCTAAGTTGGGTTGTGCAATCATTTGCACATGATATGCATAGAGGGTAACTCACGGTGAGGGAAGGGAGTGAAGAGGAGGCTGGGGAATGGAATGGGACATGTAGTTGGGGTGGTGTTCTCATTCTTACTTAGCGTATGCCCAACCCTCCTCAAGAACTGGGGAGGACCAGTGGTTGGTACCAGTCTCGCCACAGGCCTTCCGCATGACCTGGACTGAAGAGTTCCAGCATGCAGCTCTGTCAGCGTCCATGGAGTCCCTTTTGCCATGAGTCAGAGACTGTCCAAGTGGTTGATGCTTCTCCACTTCTCCATGGGTGATCTTCTCCATAGGTAAGCTCTAGTAAGCTGAGTACCTCCAGCACCTCTTTCAGCAACCGATTCTTGTGTGATTAAATAGATTCTTTTTTTTTTTTTTGTGCCATAATTCTTAGGAATTCAAGACTACCTGTTGTCCCTCCAAACTTATTTCCCTTATTTTAGTTATTGGCTCACTTTTTATCAGTGTCTTAGTTAACAATCTATGCAGCATTTAAAGTGATGACCGTCACTGCTTCAGGATACATTTTACAACATGGACTTACAAATTTGGATGATGCCTTCTTTTTTTTCCATTTATTTCCAAATTAGTGAGTGTTTAAAAAGATCTATAACATCTTGTGAAGGAGGGGCAGAACTTATCACCCTCAATTAATGTAGAGAAAACTGTCACACAGAGCAGGTAAGCGGCATCTTGGCATACCCAGAGTCAGGAAGGGCAGTCAGCACTGTCCCCAGGTCACACAGAACTTCAGGAATGTCTGTCCAGTGCTGTACTGGCTGCTTCCCCTGTGTGGCAGGGGACAAAGACATGATGAAAAGCAGACAGGCTTTTTTACAATGCCCAAAACGCTAGGCCAGGGTTCACACAGCCAGGCTCTAAACTTTCCAACTGAACTTGGAGCACCTCTATCCTTGGTCACAGATCTTCCCCGATGGCAGTGTTAGAACTGCTATCAAGTGAGTAGTCCCTTTCCTCTGGAGGGAGCTGGGACTTCTCCAGAGTCCCAGGAGGGGATGCTGTCCTGATGTCCCGCTGTCTAATGTATCTTTTTATTGGTAGGTCCATGTGCCCTAGGGTTTTTATCTAATAAGGGACCAACTAGGAGTAGAAACTAAATCTGGGCTTAATGAAGCCCATGGGGATTATAGTCCTGAGTCAGTCATAATTATTTGCCTCAAAACAGATCCTGAGGGGTGCACCTGCCTAGAGTCAGGACCACCACAGACATGCAGCTGCTTCTGAATGGAAACTCGCTGCAGTTGCGTGGCAGCTTCAGATGGGACATCTTTCTCAGCAGATGAAAGGAATTGGCAATCTGTCTCCAGTCATTTCTTAAGGTCAATGAGCCTCAGGTTCCTACTAAACCTATGGGGTTAGGATTCTGTTTTGAATGTCTTCTGAGAAATCTGATCTCTGGAGTGTCTGTTTCACACCGAAAAACTCTCACCAGGTAACTACAAGGCAGGTGGGGGGCACAGATGGAAACCATCACCTCCCATTCTTGCCAGTCTCACTGCTGTTGGATCTCTCAGGGATCCAGCAGGCTTCATGCTTGGCAGCCAACTCAACCTTTATGACACCCCTGCATGTAGGAAGGTGACAAATGCCAGCTCTACTTTGTAGGCAGAAAACTGAAGTACAGAGAGCTCAAGGCACAGTAATGATACAGCCTACTAAATGGCAGAAATAGAAACAAAATCTCAGCCCCTTGATGCCCGTGTCTGTTTCTTCCTAAATAGGCTTCTCCTTTTATTGGGAAGACTAAGAGGGAAACTGTGGGGACAGGGTGGGTACGTGCATTGAAGTGGGATGCTGCTTCAACTGAGGAAAGACACTCACGCACACACGTATGTCCCAGCTGAGATAAGGAGACTGGCAGCCCTCATTTCTATAACTGCTACCAGACCGCAGTTTTACTTAGAACAGGGTATCAGTTTTCCTTTTCTTTTCTTTTTTGTATTAGGCTCTAGTTGAGATAGACACTTTATTCTGGTAATGATCAAGCTATTCATAAGGCTCTTTTTAACTGGGTCTTCAGGAACAAAACTATAGGAACAGTAGTGCCGCCATTAGGGTCAAGGATGCTCGCTCTGGTTCTCAGGCCTGGGCTCTTGTTAATTCATTCACCATAGAGAAGGTCTGTGTGGAATAACGTTGCCTGCAGGGGGTACGATCAAGGAGTGGACAGAAAGCCACGTGTCTTCAAGATAAACATACCTCTCCTATTCAACATTCCCCCACTGAAGCTTTGTCACTTTGGGATACCCAGGTAATATACAGTTTAGTCTTTCTCTTTCAAATGCAGTTTTTCCTGGGAGTAATTACCAAACAAACCTTAAAATGAGTTTAATTTGTAGACCACTTTGCTTTAAAATGGGTCACCAAGAAATGGAAATTTTGTCAAGGGGGAGGAATAGTTTTGGAGAGAGCCTGCTTTGGAAAGGTATATTTTGAATGAATATCTTAAAAGGAAGCAAAGGGGATTGGTCGGTTTGAGATGGTGCTGATCGGGGTTGGGAAAATACAACCAAGGCCGTTTTTCTAAGCACCTGTTCTGGGTCACTTGCTGGCTCCTGTCCAGGTCCCTGCCACGTCAACTTGGTTTCTATAACTCCTACCCTATCGTTGGCACTGCAGCCCATGAAGCATAGTTTTCTCTTCCTGCTCTGGCAATTGACTGGCTGAGGGTAAAACTGCTCCCAGTATGAAATACGAATTTGTACGTGAGGAATTCCCCTGACTAGACTCTGGGGATGAGGAGGGTGAGTCGTGGGAACACGAGGACAAGGAGCCCTTCAAGATTCTTCTTGTTTCCTTTAGCCTCCGTGTCCTTTCTAGGGATGAGGCTTGGCCCGGGACTTCACTTTGGGATCCTGGCCGTGTGAGCACTCACTTTGTGTGAGGCTCCCTCTGATGCCACTCTGATGGCCCTTTTGGTACATGTCTTGTGCCTGCACAAGGCCTGAGAGCTGCCTCTTCTTAGGACAGACCTGTGAGCAGGTGTCCTTCCGCTCGAAACTGGGTTTGCTTCTAGTCCCTGATGAAAAGAGGTATAGAATTTAGGCTGAGCACTGACGCTGCAACAGGGGAGTAAACAAAGGATCTTCTTTGCTTCAAGGAGAAAACTGCAACCTGTCTCAAAGCCTTTTGATGTCACGGGGAGAGTTCTGGCATCTTGCTCTCTTTCTCTGATGGTACCCAGGGCAGAATTCCCACCAATACAAAGCATATCATTGCTTCAGAACCCAGGGGTTGCCATGACCCAAAATAATGGTCCGGGAGAACTCTGGATATCTCCTGGACTGATGATTTAAACAAAACACTCTGAAGTAATGAAATAAGGTTTGGGAGCCACAGAAACAAGTTGAGACCATAAATAATAAGACTGATTCCATCAGACAGCTGGGCTAATTAGCATAAGATGATATTGCAAATTGGTGCCTCACAGGTTAAATTTGGCCTGCATGTATTTCATTTGGTCCACATGTTGTATTTAAAATTTAGTTGCCAACATTAGCACTTTTGAAAATTTCAATTAAAATTTAGATTTCATGGGCCAGGCAGGGTGGTGTACACCTGTAATCCAGCATTATGGGAGGCTGAGCCAGGAGTCTGAGACCACCCTAGGCAACATGGTGAAACCCCATCTGTATGAAAATTAGCCAGGTGTGGTGGTGTGCACCTGTAGTCCCAGCTACTTGGGAGGGTAAGGTGAGAGGCTCACATGAGCCTGGGAGGTTGAGACTGCAGTGAGCTGAGATTGTGCCACTGCACTCCAGCCTGGGCAACAGAGAGCCCGTCTAAAAAACAAAAGTTGGATTTCTGGCTTCCCTTGAGAAATCGGAAAGACCAGGTAACACTTCATGGTACTTATTGCCTGGAAGTGAGCAGCAACTTCTCCTGCTCTCCAGCTTTCACAGCCCCATTCTCTCCCTTGCATTAGAACAGGGCCACCTTGTAACTTACGTTTGTTACCTGCCTGTATTCTGCAGACTTTTGAGCTGAGATCCCCAAAATATGGTCATATGATATCTGCTTCAGAAATGCTGGCATGATAGATTCTGGCTGAGTTAGTGAGCTCGAGACAAGACTGGTAAAAAGCTAGGAGGCAACCCCAATTCTGATTTAAGGGTTTCTATGGAGAAATGGGCATGAAAGAAGAGTCCCCCACAGCTGTTGGGTTTGGAGGAAGGAGGGCAGTCCTATGAGACTGGGAACTTTAGTGGGTCAATGGGTTTATCTTGGTAGCCCCTATGCTGGATGTGGGAAAGGCTGTTTCCTAGTTGCGTGGCATACACTGCCTGTCCAACCAGGGGCTGGGGCGAGGGCAGGGGACAGAAGACTCAGATCAGGTTGGCACCTTTTCCTTTCATCTTGCCTTATGTAAGCTTGGGCATATTTTTTTCTTTGGCCTCACTTCATACGGTTAGATCGTCTGACCTGGCTCGGCTGCTGGCTTTGCTCAGCCTGCTCAGGGGTCTGGCATCATCTGTCGTCAGCTCTGGACAGAGTGAAGGTGTCTTCTCAGCTGGCAGCCCTTGCTTTGCCACCTCCGACTGCAGCTCTTCTTTTTCACCCTCCTTCCCCACTCCGGGGGTCTCTACTTTCTCCCCGTCTGGCACTGCCACCTTCTCCTGCTCCTCTGTGGTCACCCTCTCTGCTTCCTGCTTCTCTCCCACCTCGGGTTCGGCTCCCTCCTCTGCAGGCAGCGCCTCGCCCTCCACTTCCTGCACCCCCACCTGAGCGTAGGAAGGCAGTGTCTCTTGGTAGCCCCGGGACAAGTCACCCAGGGGTCCCGTGCTGATCTTCTCCTCGAACTGATTGAAAGGCTTGGCAGAAACTGGGCTGGTCTCCACCATCCCAACCTCAGTCAAGGGGAAATAGTGGGAAACGATTTTCTCTTCTTCTAGGAGCTGATAGCCCTTGGCTTTCTGGATGGAGGAGACAGCAATGGAGTGGAGGGATTTCTCCGGAATCTCTCCCAGGGGCTGCTCTACGGGCCTCTTGAAGGCAGCCCGGATCCCCTTCAGGCCCAGGTGGCCCAACTCCATCACATTGAGGAACAGGGACACGGAGGCCACAGACAACATGAAGAGGATGAAGATGGTTTTCTCCGTGGGCCGGGACACGAAGCAGTCCACCACGTTGGGGCAGGGCCAGCGGCTGCAGCGATACAGAGGCAGGATCCGGAACCCGTACAGGAAGTAGTGGCCCACAATGAAGCCCACCTCAAAGAGGGTCTTGAAGATGATGTGGCAGATGTAGGTCCTCAGCAGGGTCCCCTCCAGCCGGAACTTCTTGGTGCCTTTGCCGCCGCCCTTCTTGCCACCGCCCTGGTCCGCGCCGAGTGGCCCCCGCTCGCCGTCGGTCCCCGCCTGCTGGCCCAGCTGCTCTGCCTCGCGGCTTTTGCGCTTCTCCTCCATGCGGACGAAGTGCACCGCGTGGCCCACGTACATCAGGGACGGGGTGGACACGAAGATGATCTGCAGCACCCACAGGCGGATGTGGGAGATGGGGAAGGCCTCGTCGTAGCAGACGTTCTCGCAGCCAGGCTGCTGGGTGTTGCACACGAAGTCGGACTGCTCGTCCCCCCACACGAACTCTGCGGCCGTGCCGAGGATGAGGATCCGGAAGATGAACAGCACGGTGAGCCAGACTCTGCCGATGACGGTGGAGTGCTCATTCACCTCCTCCAAGATGTTCCCCAGGAAACTCCAGTCGCCCATTTCTCACCCACCTGAAGGAATGAGCGAGAAGACAGAAGCTGAGCGGCCGCAATGCAAGCCCGAGTCAGCGGCTGTTTTTGCTGACTGATACCCCTCCTTTCCAAGTTGCTGGACCTGTCACCGTGTAAACAGCGTCTATTCAGCGCTTCCTCGGTGCAGACTACGGCTAGGGAACAAAGGAGGCCCCAAAGAATCTACTTCCAATCGCTTCCTCATCTGTCAAATGGGCCTAATATTAATACCTATTCTCATTCACTTCACAAATGGTCTGAAAGCATCGATGAGGCAGTATCTGTGTAATTCCTTAAACTCCACCAAAAATAAGAGTTCGTTGTTGACCATAAATAGAAACCCTTGGTTACACGGATTTAAATCAAGACCGCATACTGCTCTAAGTTTCATGAGACATAATGCTGAAAAATTACCTTATACTCTGGGTGTCTGGGCTCCCAACAAAATTCTTGTATGTATGAACTTGTCTGTGGCCATCTTATGTTTGACTGTGTCAGAATATATAATGATCAGATGTTTGAAGGAAAGTGGAAGGGGATTCACATTTATTGAATACCTACTTTGGGATAGAACTTTGACATTATATGATTTCATTTAACTTGATCCTGCTAGACTGTAAGTTCCATGAGGGTAGGAGCCACGCCTATCCTATTTACTGCTACTCAATGCCCGACACACAGCCCAGCACGCAGTGAGAACTTGATAAGTATTTGTTAACTAACTTAATTCCAGCAAATAAGAAAACTGAAGGCTAGGCATGGTGGCGCATGCCTGTAATCCTAGAACTTTGTGAGGCCGAGGCAGGAGAGTCACTTGAGCCCAGGAATTCAAGACTAGCCTGGGCAACACAGTGAGACCCCATCTCTACCAAAAAAACTTTAAAAATCAGCTGCGCTTGGTGGTGCATGCCTGTGTTCCCAGCTACTTGGGAGGCTGAGGCAGGAGGATTGCTTGAGCCTGGGAGGTCAAGGTTTCAGTGAGCCCTGATTTGTGCCACTATGCTCCATCCTGGGAGACAGAGCAAAACCCTGTCTCAAAGAAAAAAAAAAAAAAAAAGGAAACAGAAACCTGAGGCTCAGAGAGGCTAAATATATTGTCCAAGGTTAGACAGCTAAATAGCAGCAGTTCTGTTTGCTTGGTCACAAAGGCTGGGTTCCTCCCACTGCAGCACGGAGATAAACTGCTTGCAATCAGAGAGAGCTGCACAGTTCTTTCACTTCTGTGCTCTTAATTTATGTTTCCTCTTCTCTAAGTTGAAATCTGGAAACCTTTATTAATAGCTTTACACATTGAGGGCAGTATATTTTTATGATTACTCTTTTAAATCCAAAGAACAGAGAGAACGCTTTGGGAAGGAATCGTGTCACAGGATGAGGAAGGTCTTCTAGGACACTTTTAGTGTCCTACAGAATGAAAACGTTTCAGGGTCTGTAACATATAGTTGTTTTAATAGAGTTTAAAATTTGGTCTATAGAAAAAATATCATTAAACATGATAATATATAATGCCTCTAGCACAGCAATGGCTAATGGAAATGGCATTGAACTGACGAGGCGCTGCTTGCAACTGGGTCATTCATCCAGGGCAAACCTGTAACCCAGGAAGGATGATGAGCAAAACTTCCACCTCACTGGAGAACAGTTGTTCCTCCAGCTTGAACATCTCTAGAGTTGTAAAGTTTACCATCACTGCCCTCAGACCAGGTCAGGAGCCCGTGTTAGAAGACCCTGCTCTAGGAGGCTTCTAGCCATGCACCACGCTATGGGGCTAAAAGGTTATGCCTACTATTTTTTAATCACAGTGATATTTGCTGAGCACAAAAGCCTATTTCCAACTTGTGATTTGGAGTCTGGCCAGACAAAACCTGGTGGCACGATGCTAACTGCGGGCAGCTGCAATGTCCAGCAGGCTGTGCTGTCAGGGCACACACAGAGCAGAGAGTGCTCTTCCTCTTGGGGCCGCATAAACTCCCAATCAAGCAGGGTATCCGACAGCAGCTTCTCCTCTTCTGAAAAGGTGACAGCAGCTGTGGCATCCCCAGTCATGAGTGTGGCACCGGGAAGAGTTCCTTGTAGAAACGGGTAATGGAGAGTGGGAGGGAACCAGCAGCTCGGAATCCAAACCAGCGACTCACAATCCCAGCCACTTGTATTTGTTTTTGACTCTTCAGACTCTAGTTAAGTCTAGTACTTGCCCTGGTAAGAGTGGCAGCCATTCCCACTGCCTTTTGGAAAATAGGTGGAAAACATGACAGTCAGGTTAGCAGCCCAGGCATAAAGCTCACCCCGGTGGCAGAGCCAGGAAAAAGTTATTTTATTTATTTATTTATTTATTTATTTTGAGACGGAGTTTCGCTCCTGTTACCCAGGCTGGAGTGCAATGGCGTGATCTCCGCTCACCGCAACCTCTGCCTCCTGGGTTCAGGCAATTCTCCTGCCTCAGCCTCCTGAGTAGCTGGGATTACAGGCGCGCACCACCAGGCCCAGCTAATTTTTTGTATTTTTAGTAGAGACGGGGTTTCACCATGTTGACGAGGATGGTCTCGATCTCTTGACCTCGTGATCCACCCGCCTTGGCCTCCCAAAGTGCTGGGATTACAGGCGTGAGCCACCGCGCCTGGCCAAAAGTTATTATTATTTTTTTAATCAACTAGTTTGTTCTAAAATTTATGTTAAAACAGCAATTTGAATAACTTTACTTCTAAAAGATCAAATCTGGCTTTAATGTGCTCTAACCCTCATATATTTTACTATCTTACTACTATCTTACCTAATCGTAACTATCTAGCCAATACTTACCCTCATTGATCATCAGCTCAGTTTCGACAGCCTTACTTGTATTGTACCATATTAGTCGTTTTGTGTCTCTATGTGTATTTCACTCACATACCCACATGAATGTGTGTGATGAGCACATGCTCTCAGCCCTATACGTTAACCAGTCTTGTTTCCCCCGCTTAGCATCAAAAGCTTTAGAGGGCAGGGACCATTATCACAGCACAGAACAAGGCCCTCTGCAGAGTGGGAACTCCGTAGAATCAGTGCCTGGGACTGATAGTATCGTCTGAAATCTGAAACTCTGAATCCCTGACTTCACGTAAGGGGAGGACTGACTTCAGTCCTCCTGCTGCTCTTGCTAACAGCAGGGAGATTAAGCAAATGCAAAAAAATGGTAAATAACAAAAAGGATAGTAAATTGATTCCCAACCAGCTGTTTTGAGACACAAAACTGCTTATTTTATATAGGATCAAAGATATAAACTGGAAGCCAGCAATTCTTGACGCTAGTTTCATGATACATGTCCAAGACGTAAGAAGCCGCTCCTGACCACCTGTTAGCCATTTTGAAACCAAAGCCAAATAAGCCGGTGTCTTACTATACTCGAAGCCGCCATGCTAAGATTGTATTTTTCAAAAATGTCTAGGTACATAGTTTCTTGTGATTTTTTTTTTTGAGACGGAGTTTCGCTCTTGTTACCCAGGCTGGAGTGCAATGCCGCAATCTTGGCTCACCGCAACCTCCACCTCCTGGGTTCAGGCAATTCTCCTGCCTTGGCCTCCTGAGTAGCTGGGATTACAGGCATGCGCCACCACGCCAAGCTAATTTTTTTTGTATTTTTAGTAGAGACGGGGTTTCACCATGTTGATCAGGATGGTCTCGATCTCTTGACCTTGTGATCCACCCGCTCGGCCTCCCAAAGTGCTGGGATTATAGGCGTGAGCCACCGTGCCTGGCCACATAGTTCTTGTTATAACTGAAGGAGAGAAACTGTAGTTTAGGACATAATCTTTCCAATCCCACGATGTTTAAACAGGCCTACTGTGCTGTTAAGGAGAGACACTTCAGAGGCGCGCAGGGAAATGCTTCGGTTTCCTAACTTCTAACAATGAAAATTTAAAGGAAGTCAGATCAGAGAAGCAAAGTGTTCTATGGGAGCATCGAGATATCTGACCCAAAGGAAGAGTATTTCTCTTCTCTTTTTCAGGGATAATTCTCTGTTTTATTTTGCTTGTGAAAATTTAGTGAACAGACCTGTTACAGACGGAAAATAAATGGAATTCAAGCCTCCAATCCCAGGGTGTCCATATATGGCCAGGAACATCCCGCCAGAAAATGATGACTAGAGGTAATGATTAAAATAACACCTTATGTTTGGTTATCCTTAATGTATTTATAAGTGATACAGTTTCACATATTTTATTTCAGTCCTCATAACAAGTTGGTTCTCTGACTTCGATTTCACAGACGAGTATAATAACAACAAACTAGTGTGACCAGCATAAGGATACCAACTCCTTCTTTTGCCAAGCAAGGACAGAAAAATAAGAATTATTGGCCGGGTGTGGTGGCTCATGCCTGTTATCCCAGCACTATGGGAGGCTGAGGCGGGAGGATCACTTAAGGTCAGGAGTTCAACACCAGCCTGGCCAACATGGTGAAACTCTGTCTCTACTAAAAATATAAACGTTAGTAGGGTGTGGTGGCAGGCACCTATAATCCCAGCTACTTGGAGGCAAGAGAACTGCTTGAGCCTGGGAGGCAGAGGTTGCAGTGAGCCGAGATTGCACCACCGGACTCCAGCCTGGGCAACACAGCAAGACTCTGTCTCAAAAAAAAAAAGTTATTAAATCACTAACTGTAATTACAGTCTGTTCCATCATCATTTTATAAAAGGGGATTTGAACACTATGAAACTAGAGAGGACATAATTTCAGAATAAAAGACAAGCCTTCAAATGGAACACACTTAACTTGGTGAAACATTTACTACACATTGTTAATTTCTTCATTGTCACATTTTGGTCACAGTGGAAAACTTCATCTTGGGCTAGAACTGACAGACTTCCAGATGGATGTTTGAGAACCAGTGAACTTGGCATTATCAATCCCCATTACCAGACAGAAAGACAGGCTGGGGGGTTAAATGAGTCTCCCAAGGATGGGGCTTAGCTGGTGAGGGCAGAGCCGGGATGTGAGTCCTGATCTGCCAGGTGTAAGTCCTTTATAGCACAGCCCTCCTCTGGCTTTGAAGAGGCAGAATAACACATATGCACCCATTAATAAGTTCTCCAAAGCATTCAATGGCAGCTTACCACTCCAGTTGGCAACCAAGTGCAAATGTGCCTCTTCTTGTTTCTAGAACAGCCACTAGCCGGCAGTTCTCATAGAGAGACAGCAGAACCTACTCCTAGGAAGAGTTTCGGGGTCCTTAGCCAGATCCACTCCTGTGCTCCATTAAATGCTGCAACATGGAAAATGCTGAGCACGAACCCTCCGCTACCCCTGCAGCATTCAATAACTGTGACTATGATTCCGATTGCAGAATTTGAGTGCGAATATCATAAATATCAAATACTTGGTTTAGGTCCCTCCGGATTCCTATACACACGTTAATTCATTCTGAAAAATGACAAGAGCTTAAGAAGTCAAATTGTAGTTTGAGTTTGGAGATCCCTGTTTCCCCATCCTCCCCTATTCCAGCGTTCCTCTCCCTCCCAAACCTCTGCCAAGATCAACTTGAAAAGGGTTTTCAGAGTTGAACTGTGTAAGTCCAGCCATCCCAGCTCAAGACTGAATCTTATTGGCAACCTTTTCCCTTTTGAAGAAGCCCAAGTATGGTCCTTAGATTAGGCTGAGAAAGAAGAATTGGGGGGAAGGTTACAAACTAACACAACCCAAGGAAAACTTGCCAATACGAGGAGCGTCCCACGGAGAGATATGTGCTGTCTTTCTCTCTTGGCGCTCAGCAGCAAAATGGCAACTTTCGTCTCTTTCCTTTGCCGCCTAAAAGCCCACCTCCCACTTCTCTACCCCGCCCCTACTGTGCTGCACGACTGAGCAGATATGACTGGATTGGCCCTGATGGGTAGGTTTTACTGTCCAGCAATATTTTAAGCTCCCAGCCAGACAGCTTTTATGAAGGGAGGGATGTTTGGGAAACAATGGGAGTGAGAGAATGGGAGAGCTGTGTTGGGCACTGAGGGGAGGAGGATGGGAAAAGCCGACGGGTGAAAGCTTAGATGGGGCTTCTGCGCCCCCAAAAGTTTCTTTTAGAAGCAGACTGGGCCTGTACACCAGGAAACCTTTGGCTTCCCTCCAGAGGGCATGAGCCTAGGAGCATTTTTCCCAAGGCCTTATCATCAGCTTGGAGGATCTTAGTGGCGTAGGGACAGTGAGTAGTCACCTGTGTGCATTCCTCTGCCCTGAGTCAGAGGAAGGAGAGTGGTGGGTCCTTTTCAAAGGACGATATTTCATCCTCTATTGGTGGTTTGCTCTTGTCTCTCAAAGGTTTCAACAGCAGAATTGTGGATATTAGAGGCTGGGAAGGGTAGTGGGGGAAGGAAGGATGGGGAGCGTGCTAATAGACACAACAGCACAGCTAGATGGGAGAGTGGGTTCTGATGGTCTGCAGTGCTGTAGGATGAGTATGGTTAGCTATAATTTATTTATTTTTTGAGATGGAGTTTTGCTCTTGTCACCCAGGCTGGAGTGCAATGGCACGACCTCAGCTCACTGCAACCTCCACCTCCCCGGTTCAAGTGATTCTCCTGCCTCAGCCTACCAAGTAGCTGGGATTATAGGCACCCACCACCATGCCCAGCTATTTTTTTTTTTTTGTATTTTTAGTAGAGATGGGGTGTCACCATGTTGGCCAGGCTGGGCTCGAACCCCTGACCTCAGGTGATCAGGCCTTGGCCTCCCAAAGTGCTGGGATTACAGGCATGAGCCACTGTACCCAGCCATTAACTATTTTATTGTATATTCTCAAAAAGCTCTTTGATTGTTCCCAAGACAAATGATAAATGTTTGAGATGCTGTACATGCTAACTATCCTGATTTGATCATGACACATTGTATCCATGCATGTAACTATCACTCCTATCACATAAACATGTACAATTATTATATGTCCACTAAAAATAAAGGAAAAAAAGTTTCTAAAAAGATCAAAACAAACCTTCAGCAGGGTTGTCTCATTCTTTGAAAGGCTCCTTAACACTCCAAAGAATTCTGGTGCCATTTGTCAAAGTAATAGCGTTTCTCACCATGTTTCACTCATAATTACAAACACCTTCGAGTGGCGGAAGTTGAATCATCAATGTCAGCTAATATTTTTAGACTTTAGTGCTTTCGTCTGTTAAATGGGAATGTGACATTTTTTTCTCATGAAGAGGCCCTTGGATTAAATTCTAATGTGGCTTAATGAGGAATGATGCTTGGAGGACACGGACTTGTGCTCCCTGAGGCCCCCTCCCTTCCCATCATCTGAGACTGACTATCGTTAGTATAAAAAATGGTGATTTTAAACTACATTTTCTTTTTTTTCTTAATTTATTTTTATTTATTCATTTAAGATGGGGTTTCACCATGATGGCCAGGCTGGTCTTGAACTCCTGACCTCGGGCGATCCACCCACGTTGGCCTCCCAAAGTGCTAGGATTACAGGCGTGAGCCACCGCGCCCGGCCTAAACTACATTTTCCAAACCCAAAATGGGGAATTTTATCCAACAAGTTTATTTGTGAAAACAATGGAGCAAAAATAGTTGAAAATGAGTTTTATGAAATCTGCAATGTCTGATTACTAAACTGAAGATAACTTGGAAGGTAAACTAGACCAAAACAATCTGAGCACTTAATTCACGCCCACCCCTTTCTCCTGTCCTTTCTGGTGTCATGGACATATTGCATTTAATGGGGGCAGTTTGAAGGAGGATGGTACCAGTGTTGTGCGAGTCCCCAGTTCCATTTTAAATAAAACGGCCACTAGCCCACAATCTCATTTACTTTAGCTGCCTGATTTCTTTTGAACTCCCAAGTCTGAGGGCCCACACTGACTGGACAGTGCTTTCTAGCAAATCCTTCACTTAAAAACAGAGGGTCAAGGCTGATCCCTGCAATATTAATGAGGCAAGAAGTCAGAGGATGAAGGGAAGAGATCCAATCATTCTTTCTCTGAAAATACTTAGTTCACGTCAGTTCTTGAAGCTTGCACTCTCCCCAAGATACTCCTGCGAAGAGAAGAGAATCTGCAAAGCTTCTCTTCAGAATGAAGTTCTCGCTCTCCAAGGCTTCCCAGTCCAAGTTGGCTGATGCGGTGGGTGGCATCATCGCTCATCATTATTTTGTGAGAGATGGCAGTAGAGTATGCGTTTGAATCCGGAAAAATGGGGCTGTCACCAAGGCTCTGAACCAGTTATAGTATCTCCCATGTGGACAAATCCAGCTTTTCAATTTAGCACTTTCTTTGTTTCCTTTCTGTGTAAACGTAGAAGATGCTCCTCTACTCACAGTACCCAAGGGACTGGGTTATCTTTGTTGTTGGTTCTTCTGCTTGCAGCTGGAAAGTTCTTGAAAATATAAACACTCAATCGTGTATATCTCGGGGAGAGTTTTGAAAGACATGGGGAAAGAGGCCCATCTTAGCTACCAGTGAGAGAAGAGTTGTCTGTTTCTACCAGGAATCACTTTCTCAGGTCTTTCAGGGGGATTTCTTCCCAGGTGTCCATATTACATTATTTGATGTAAATAAATAAATGTCTAGAGCAGGAGACATAACCACATTCAAATGTAAATTATAATTTTATATTCCATAATCATATAGATTATTAGATTATTGACATTTTCGATAATCTAATGATAGCATTCTCCTACCAGGGTTCTTTCCTTCCTTTCTCCCCTTCTTTCTCTCCCCTTTCTTTTCTTTCTCTATCTTTCTTTCTTTTTCTTTCTCTCTCGCTCTCTCTTTTTCTTTCTTTTTTGAGACAAAGTCTTGCTTTGTCACCCAGGCTGGAGTGCAGTGACCCGATATTGGCTCACTGCAATGTCTACCTCTGGGCTCAAGCAATCCTCCTGCCTCAGCTCCCGGAGTAGCTGGGAGAGGCGCATGCCACCATGCCCAGCTAATTTTTGTATTTTTTGTAGAGATGGGGTTTTGCCATATTGACCAGGCTGGTCTCAAACTTCTGAGCACAAGCCATCTGCCCGCCTAAGCCTCCCAAACTGCTGGGACTACGGGCATGAGCCACTGCACCTGGCCCGGGGTGCGTTAAGCAATGAGGCAGTTCTGTGCGGAAAGCCAGTGGAATTTGCCTTTGGAAGACCTGACTTTGAGTGTGGCTCTTCCGCTTCCTATGTGTGGGCAGTTTGTTCAGCCTCTCTGAGTCTCAGTTTCTCATATGTGAAATAGAGATAATAATCACTGCCTTTCTTGCTTTATGAGAACAGATGATGGCTGCTAATCTCACCTATGCAGTGCCTGTTCCCCTGTTGGTTATATTTTTGATGATCTAAGTATGGCTGTGTCCTGTGTCCCAGGGTCATGGGTTGGTTCATTTCCAGGTACATTTTGACCAAGGTTACACGCTCCCCCACTTCCACAGGGAAAATGTCAGAACTGGGAAGGACTGGAGGAGATCATGGTCCCAGTCCTTATTTTATGGACGAGGAAACTAAGGCTCAAGCGGAAATGACACCCTAAGGTTGTGGCATAGCTCTCAAGCCCACGTGCTTTCCCTGCTCCCAGTGCCTCCGGGTATGGGGCATGGACTCTATATGCAGAGAGGCTCTTTAGGGAGGACCAGGGGAGCTCTGGCCGAAGGAGAAGGGCAGAAAGATTTATGGGGTCCGAGAGGACCATCCTCAGTCAATCGCTGTGGTCACTAGAATTGGGAGATGTAGAATCTCTCCCTTCCAGTTACTGGGAAGTGCCGGGGGAATGAGTCTGAAAAAAACCCAGGACTGGGGCTGTGGGAGAATTGGGTCACTTCTCTGATTACTTCAAGCCCAGCTCTGACTTAGTGGGCAGTGTTTAGAGATCCATTCAACAAGTATTTGTTGAGGTTCCCCCCTTTGAGGTATGTGGGACACATTGGTAAGATAGAGATTCCTAGTGGGGAGGTGCAGAATGGGCGTTAAACACAATGAATGAGTGAATTATACAGAACATTGGAAGGCGGGAAGTCCCACCAGAAATGAGAACGTACGGCCCGGTGAGGGGGACTGGGACTTCTGGTGGAGGGAGGAGGTGGTCAGAGAGACCTCACTGAGGTGAGATTTGAGCAGACTTCCAAGAAGGTGAGAGGGAAGCGTGAGGGAATGGGGGTGAAGGCTTGGAGAAGCAAGGAGGCCAGAGGGGCTGCGGTAGAGTGGGCAAGGACAGACGTAACTGGGAACCGAACTTGCGTTTGTCAGTTGTTCATCTATGTATCGTTTGTTCACCTGCGTGTCTTCAAAACCCCAACACCAGCAAGAAGCCAGTTACTACCCGGGGCCCAATGTCCAACTTTATCCTTCCTTTCTACCACAGGCTTTGCTGAGCAGCCACCGTGTGCTCGGCACCGTGCTGGGAGCACAAAGGTGAATGAAGCACGGTCCCCTATGTGAAGCTTAGCACATGGAGTGTGCAGAGAGGCCTCATGTATGCTGCTCCAAGAGAGGGGTTGGGGGAGAATCGGGTCCACCCCTCATGCTGAATCCTGGGCCTAACCCTGGGCTGGGCGCCTCCATCTTGCGGGAAACTGAACAGCGAAGAGGCAAATGCCAGCTCTGGGGTTAGATCGTCTCAGCCTCACCACTAACTCGCCTGACCTTGCCTAAGTGACTTTCCTGGTCTCAGCCTCAGTTTTCTCTTGTAAAAAATGGTGAACCGTGTCTGCCTCAAAGAGCTGCAGTGATTAAACGAAACAGTCTGTGTGAAACGGAGTCCAATACTTGGCACAGAAGCTCTTGGTAGTTAGTAAGTGCTATCACTGTTATGAGGACGAAAGTTTGGACACCGCCAGAGAGAGACCAAGGGTGCTTCAGTTCACCAGCAGAGGGATCCATACTTGCTATTCGATCTGTTTGTGTCACCTGGAGAGGGCCAGGAGGC